CACACACTGCTATGAATAACTCACTCAGATCCAAGTTGAAAGCCAACACACTTAAGCAAGCGTACCGACACGCATGGGATCGATCTTTTGACTCACGCCGTAACTCTTTTTGAGAAAATGGAAAATGAAAATTCACTTTAGAAACCGTGCGAATGATGGCTGAAGAAGCTACTCGCCACAGCCACGCAAATTGCTATTCATTTGATTTTTTTTTTTAACAGAAGATACATTATGCAGTGCACATGCATGTAAAATCGAGTATGTGTTGATGTACGCGCGCATACATATACATTGTGTTCGCGTGTGTGTGTGTGTGTTTGCGTGTTTATGCTTGTTTGTTTCTGTGTATGTGTGTGTGTGTGTTTACGTGCATGTGTGTGTGAGTGTTTGTGTGTTTGCGTGTGTGTATGTGTTTGCGTGTGCATGTGTATGTGTGTGTGTGTCTTTATAAATCTATATCACTTTCATCTTTGTCGGTGTTTGTTTGTTATCGAATTTAACGCGTTTTGCACACATTAATTAGTTACATTACCGGTTGGCTGACTAAGGCAAAGGGACCAATTTGATAAACTTCATTGGTGAACCAGATATACGTATGATTGATTTAATTTCTAATAGAAAAGAAGTCAGCAACATCATCAAGTGATATTTTGGAACTATTTTCTTTAAACGTTACCATTATTTTTATATCTTCTTTATCACAATCTTCTCCATAATTGCCACCATCATAACCACCACCTTTTAGACACCAATAAACAATTTTCGCTAATAAACATTTTTACCTTTTCCATCTCACTTTTTTTCTCTTTTTATCGTTCTTTCCTTATCCTCTTATATTATTCTATCCTTTCTTCTTCTTTCCTTCACCCCCCAAGACCTAAAACGTGGCCCTCTTACAGTACCATCAACAGGAAAACATAAAAAGCGAGGGAAAACACCAACAGATTCCCTCCCGAAGAGACCGCACGCGACCTCACGCTTTGGGTAACGTGTGGTCGGTTTAATTACCTCGCGTATGATACTCTGTTTGAGGTTTTGGCGCCTTGGTGGAGGTTGGGGAGTACATGTGTCTTTCCTGCTGGAGCGTGTGTCTATATATATGTGTGTATATATCTATATCTGCATCTACATCTATCTATCTATCTATTTGTCTATCTATATGTATATGTGTGTGTATACATACATATATATATATATATATATATATATATATATATATATATATATATATATATATATATATACATGTCCTCCCTTGTTTTCTATAATTTTCTTTGTCTTTCTCCCTAGTTTTCTATATCTGTCTCTCCTTTCTTTCTCTCTCTCTCTCTCTCTCTCTCTCTCTCTCTCTCTCTCTCTCTCTCTCTCTCTCTCTCTCTCTCTCTCTCTCTCTCATATATATATATATATATATATATATATATATATATATATATATATATATATATATATATATTATATATATATATATATATATATATATATATATATATATATATATATATATATATATACGTCTATCTATCTATCCATCTCTCTCTCTCTCTCTCTCTCTCTCTCTCGCTCTCTCTCTCTCTCTCTCTTCTCATCTCTTCTCTTCTCTTCTCTTCTCTTCTCTTCTCGTCTCGTCTCGTCTCGTCTCTTCTCTTCTCTCTCTCTTTCTCTCTCCCTTCTTCCATGTTTCTTTCCTGTTCCTGATGTATCACTTTTACTCTTTCACTTCTCATTATTGTTTCTTCTCCTTCCGCCCCAACATTATCATTTACCTCTTTCTGTTTTCCTTAATGTGTGGTTCTGTTGTATCGCCGGTTATAGAGATTGAACCTAAAATACCAAAAATAAATCTGTTTACTTTCTTAATTCATATGTTTAGGTGTATCTATCTATTTATCTATCTCGTTGATCGTAAGTGCGCGCTATGCGTGTGTTTGTATACTGCATGTATAAGACTTAGTGTCTGAGAGGAAATATATATAGTAACGTATTATATATATCTAGTGACAGGTTCAGGAATATGAAATTAATTTTTGATTTGAAGTTTTGATGATAGTGACTATAGTTTATGATGATCTTTATACGGGAAAATTTTCTCGTAGGAGTATCCTCTGCGATCCTTCAAAGCAATTTTGAGTTTTGAAAAGACAGGAAACACCATAAATAAATAGATAAAAGTATATATATATATTTTTTCTCTCTCTCTTTTCTTTTTTTTGAAAGGAAATAAGATAAATTCAGATAAGGGAGAATCAAACAGGACATGACAAGCAAAACAAAAGAATTATTAAAACGAATGAGTACGCAAAACACGCACTTTAAGCGAACAGCCTGTAACATACGCGTGACACAGCCTGTATTTACGAAGGGAGGACCGTTCATCACTAACTGTACTAAATTACTCCTACACGAACTCCTTAAATAATCTAAGTAGCCTAAGTGTTCATAAGCGCTGAACACGATAAGAGGAAACAGTAACTAAGGAGATAATTATACCATATGTTCAGTGTTACCTACTTTTTGTTCATTATCCAAAGTGATGTTTTTTTTTTGCTTTGTTTGTTTTCTAAAGTGATGCATATTTTTTTTCTTGATTATTAGCCAATTTATTTATTATTTATTTTTTTCTTTTTTCTTTTTTTTTCGCTGCGCTTTACCTTGGCTTAGGGTAACGCCTCAGCCACACTTACCTCAAGCTTTGTTCAAGTATAAAATCGTATGTAAATATATTTCAGTGACCCGAAACCCGCATATCTTTTTTTCTTTTTTAATACTTCAAAAATCCTTAGAGCTCATGCAAAATTCATTCGTTGTTTTTCGTCTTCATTTTCTTCTCTTCTCTCTCTTTCTCTATCTACAGTATATATCTTTCTATCTCTATCTCTCTCCCCTCCTCTGTCTCTCTTTCTGTCTATCTATCTCTTTATCTATCTCTATTTCTCTCCTCTCTCTCTCTCTCTCTCTCTCTGTCTCTCTCTCTCTCTGTCTCTCTCTCTATCTATCTATCTATCTATCTCTATCTCTATCTTTATTTATCTCCTCTCTCTCTATCTCTATCTTTATTTATCTCCTCTCTCTCTCTCTCTCTCTCTCTCTCTCTCTCTCTCTCTCTCTCTCTCTCTCTCTCTCTCTCTCTCTCTCTCTCTCTCTCTCTCTCTCTTTCATCAAAGATTTTCTCAAGCTATATAACAGACAACCTTCACAGTAACCCACCCATTAGCATTGAACCAGACGTGCGTTCTCCAACCTGAAATTTCTCTCTTAAAATAAACTTCACCTCAATTTATTCACAAATGACTACTTTACCGGCCACTTTTTATTTCAGTTTTTTCATTTCTTATTTATCTCTTTTACTTTTCTTTTTTTGTCTATTTATTTACTAATGACTACTTTACGGCCACTTTTTTTTTTTTTTTTCATTTCTTATTTATCTCTTTTTCTTTTCTCTTTTTTATCACTTTATTCACTAATGACTACTTTACCGGCCACTTTTTTCATTTCTTATTTATCTCTTTTTCTTTTATTTTTTTTTATCACTTTATTCACTAATGACTACTTTACCGGCCACTTTTTATTTTTTTTATTTTTTCCATTTCTTATTTATCTCTGTTTTCTTTTCTCTTGTCTTTTTTATACCTGTCACTTTTTCATGGTTAGGAATGCTCATACGTAAATATATACACATGTATGTTCGGTATAATTTCTTTTCTATACGTGATGTTATGAGAGTTTGCACAGAATAAGGTTAGATTCCGTTGAGTCAATATTACTATTATTTTATTAACTTTTTAGTTTATTTATATTTTATGATATATACATATATTGTTTTTTATGCAAATGCTTCGTTTCAATCTTCTCCTCCTGATTTTGTTATCGTTAGTTAGAGTCACCACTTACAGATAACTATTTCTATTTTTTTTCTTAATTCACACATGACTTGTCCACAGCCGGATGCCCTTCTTGTCGCCAACCTTTTGCCCAGGCTCCCCCACCCCCTTGCCAATGATTGATTAAAGAATGGTTTCGATAAACCTTGTCAAAGGAGATAAAATCCAACTCTCTTTTAATTCTGAGATTCCTCACTTGTTGCGGTGGAATTCAATAGAATCTTCTCTTCTCTTAGAATTTCCTAAATCAAAGGATATCATCTCTTCTCCTTCCCATATAAATCCCTTTCCCCCTCCCCCCAGATTTTCCTCTTCTCGCGTCAAAATTAAACAAAATTCTGTCTGTCTGTCTGTCTGTCTGTTTGTCTCTCTCTCTCTCTCTCTCTCTCCTTCCCCCACAGATTCCCCACGTGTCGTTTCCCAAACTAAACAAAATTCTTTCTCCCTCCCCCTCCCCCCCACATAGATCCTACGTCTCGCATCAAAAACTAAACAAAAACCACTCTTTCATTTTCCCCTCCTCTCCCCCCCCCCCCACACACACATCCTACTTCTCGCATCCAAAAACTAACCAAAACCCCCCTTTTTAATTTTTCCCTCCTCTTCTTTCCCCCCTCCCCTCCACCACACAGATATCCTACTAAACAAAAACCCCTTTCTTAATTTTTCCTCCTCTTCCTCTTTGCCCCCCCCCCCACACAGATACCCCACCATCCCTCTTTTTTCCCTCCCCCTCCTCCTCCTTCCCCCCCCCACACACACATCCTACTTCTCGCATCCAAAAACTAACCAAAACTACCCCCTTTTTAATTTTCCCTCCTCCTCTTCCCCCCTCCCCCCACTACACAGATATCCTACTAAACAAAAACCCTTTATTAATTTTCTCTCTTCCTCTTCTTTCCCCCCCCCCCCACACACACACAGATACCCCACCATCCCTCTTTTTTCCCTCCCCCTCCTCCCCCCCCCCCACACACACACATCCTACGTCTCGCATCCAAAAACTAAACAAAAAAAAACCTTTTTAATTTTCCTCCTCCTCCTCTTCCCCCCCCCCTCGCCCCCACCACACAGATATCCTACTAAACAAAACCCCCCTTCTTCTTTCCCCCCGCACAGATAACCCACCACCTGCCAAGATGTCGTACATGGGCATGAGCCAGCACATCGACTTCGACAACCTGCCTGACCCCAACACGCGCTACGAACTCCTGGAGGTCATCGGCGAGGGCACGTATGGCGAGGTCTTCGCTGCCAAGGACCATGAGACGGGTAAAGAGGGTTTTTATTTATTTATTTATTTATTTTTATTCAAAATATGAGACGGGTAAGGATGAATTTTTAAAAATCAGGGGACGGGTAAAAATAGATTTTTTTTTTTTTTTTTTTTTAATATCCAAAATATGACACGGGTAAGGATGAATCAAAAAAAAAAGAAAAAAGAAAAAAAAACGGGGGACGGGTAAATATGGATTTATTTATCTTATTTTATTTATTATTATTATTGTTTTAATATTCAAAATATGAGACGGGTAACGATTGACTGTTTGAAACTTTAGACGGGTAAGGATTGATTATTTGAAATATGTGACGGGTAAAGATGGATTTTTTGAAACAGGAGACGGGTAAAAGTTGATTATTTGAATTATGAGACGGATAGAGATTTATTTAAAACATGAGACGGGTAAAAATTTATTATTTAACAGCAGGAGACGGGTAAAGATAAATCTTTTAAACATGAGACGGATAACGATTTAAAATATGAGACGGATAACATTTAATTATTTAAAATATGAGACGGGTAAAGATTAATTATGTAAGACATGTGACGGGTAAAGATTAATTAATCATTTAAAAATGAAACGGGGAAAGATCAACTGTTTATTCAAAACACGAGACGGGTAAAGATGAATTAATTATTTCAAAAGATCCGCCGCGTCATTAGCGTCGAATACATTGCGGGATTAGCATATTCAGCATATTCAAAACGTTAAAAAATCAATCAATAAAAAAAGGAAATTAAGAAAATATGTATATTGAAGGGTAAAGTTTTTTTTTCAGGTTATGGATTTCTGATTTTCTTTTCTGTACGTTTTGTATCTGTTGTATGTCAGTTTTATTCTTTTAGTTTAAATATATATTTTTTTCTTTTTCTTTTTCTTTTTCTTTTTCTTTTTCTTTTTCTTTTTGTTCTTGTTCTTGTTCTTCTTTTACTCTTCTATTTTTGTGTAAATTTTACTCAGCTGTTTTACTTTGTTTTTTATTCTGTTTCTTCTTCAGTTCTTATCCATGTTTCTTCTCCGTCCTCTCAACATCGTCATTTACCCTTTTCTTTTTTCCTTCTTTTATTTGTTCATTTATATCTTATTTATTCATTTGTTTGTTTATTTATTTATACCTTTAATGATTGTAATATGTTCTCTTCCTTGGTTTTACAGTTATCTTTTTTTCTCTTCTTCTTTCTTGCTTGCTTGCTTCTTTCATTTTTTTTTCTTATCTTTTTCTTTTTCTGTTTCTCATTCTTTTTGTAACTTTTTATTTAACCTTTTTTATGCAACTGCTCGTCATTATTTTTTTTTTAGGCAAGTTACGTTTCTTCTTTCTTTCTCTTTCATTTTTCCTTTTTATTCTATTCCTCTTTTTATTGCTAATTTTGTCATTGGTGTTCTTCTATTTCTTTGATTTTCTCGGTTTATTGTACGTTGAATCGAGATCCGTTCGTTTTACTTTAGTTTACCTTAAAAGAAAAAAGAAAACGTTTACGTGTATAATTTTCGTAAAAAATATACTTCATAATTTATCGGAAATTAAGTAATGCTAGATATGCCCTTAAGTGTATCTTAAAAATATTAGAAAGCATTAATTATTGGAAATTATGCTTAAATTTGGTAGTTTGGGCATTTGTTTTATAATTTTTTAAATGATTATGCGCAAACGAAAATAATTTAAGAATATAAAAAATCTATCCATGTTTTCTACTGCTGTTTCTTTCTGTAATTAAGTTCTTTTCATCAGATTCTTCTAAAACAAAAAGACCAGGCCAAAAAAGAAAGACAGTAAAAAAAAAAGGTAAAAATGAAAAAAAAGGCTGGATCAATATATATATATATATATATGTATATATATATATATATATATATAAACAAACACACAAAAAACTGCCTTCAACCAATGGGAAAAAAAACTCAGACAAAAAGGTAATCACTCCCCACACCCCCAACCCCCCCACCCTTAAGCACCACCCCCTCACCCCCACCCCCCTTTTCGCCCCACCGGATAGACCTCTGTCCCTTCCCCTTCCCCCAACCCCCACCTCTTCTTCCCCCCCCAACCCCTTCCTCCCCTCCTACCCCCAACCCCCCACCCTTCCTCCTCCCCCTTACCAACCATACCCTCACTGCTCCCCCAACCCCCCACCCTTCCCCCCTTTTCACCCCACCGGATAGACCTCTCTCCCTCCCAACCCCCCACCCCTCCTTCCTCCCCCTCCCCCTTACCAACCATAACCTCATTGCTCCTCCCCCCCCCCACCGGATAGACCTCTCTCCCTCCCCTCTCCTCCTCCTCCCCCTTACCAACCATAGCCTCACTGTCTCTCCAGGCTCCATGGTCGGCATCAAGATCATGGAGAACATCGGGGAGAACCTTGAGGAGATCGAGGAGGAGTTCCTGATCCTCCGGGACCTCAGCCTCCACCCGAACCTGCCGGCCTTCCACGGGATCTTCCTCAAGCGCGGCAACAAGCAGGAGGAGGACCAGGCGTGGATCGTCATGGAGGTGAGGACGAGCTTTTGTGGTTTGGAGGAGGAGTTGGTCTGTTTTTTTTATTATTGATTTGTTTTATATTATTATTGTTATTTTATTTAGTTATCTATTTGTATATTTATTCTATTCTATTTATTATTATTATTATTATTTTTCTTTTGTTTTAGGTGAGGACGTATTTTTTCTTCATTATTTTTTATTATTATTATTATTATTTTTTTTTTTAGGTGAGGACGTGTTTTTTCTTCATTATTTTTTTCTTCATTATTATTATTATTATTATTATTGTATGTGTATTCTCATTTCTTTTTTTTTTTTTTTAGGTGAGGACGTATTTTTTCTTCATTATTTTTTATTATTATTATTATTATTATCATTATTATTATTATTATTGTATGTGTATTCTCATTTCTTTTTATTTTTTTTTTTTTGCAATAGAGAGGATTAGGAGAGAGGCTGGTTCTGAAAATACAAGAACGGAGATTGTAGCAAAATAAACATAACAAAAACAAAAAAATAGAAATACACTTGTAATGGTTTTGATAGAAGTGTATATATAAACGTTTTGAAAGTAGGGTTGACGTAATGTGTGAAAAAAAAGTTTGTAAATGTTTATTGTACTTCGAAATGCCACTGAGAGAGAGAGATAGAAAAAAAAATAAAAGTTTCTAATGCACAAGGTCTTTGCTAAAGGAAATAAGACGTAAATTGCAAAGTGCAAAGTTTGTATTTTCTGTGTTAGTTTGTTTAACCTTGCAAGACGTCTGAAGTATATATCAAGAATATATCTTGTGGTTTAGGAGAAATTGAACCAAATGGAAAAGTTGTATTCGTTAAAATAGTAGAACACAGAAGAAAAAAAACACTATTGAGTTATTGAAATTATTCAAACAATAACTATATAATATCCAGTTCTTAAAAAAAAATAGTTATAATGATAAAAAATAAAATTAAATTTGATCATTAGCAAGTCAAGAAGTTAGAAAAAAGGGAAAAATCGCTCTGTAATTACGAAATTAAAGACAATTTGTAAGACAAGTTTCTCTTCGTAAAACTCGAATTGGCTAAATCATCTTCCAGTGAAAAGCAACAGTTAGGTATAACGTACTAGAGAAAATTGGTGGTTAGTTGAAATCATGGTTTTATTCTGTCACCATGACGTGGCAGAAACATTCATGGAAATCACTTCCTCTTTCTAACTGCATTTGAGATTATTATTATTGTTAATATTATTATTATATTATTATTATTATTATTTTTTTTTTTTTTAGGTGAGGACGTATTGTCATTTTTTTCTCTTTTTTCATTTTATTTATCTATTATTATTATTTTTTTTTTTTTTGCAATAGAGAAGGCTAGGAGAGAGTCTGTTTCGAAAAATACAAGAACGGAGATTGTTGCAAAATAAACATAACAAAAAATTTAGGAGAAATACACATGTAATGGTTGTGATAGAGGTTTATATATATAAACGTTCTAAAAGTAGGGTTGACGTAATGTGTGAAAAAAAAGTTTGTAAATGTTTATTGTACTTCGAAATGCCACTGAGAGAGAGAGATAGGAAAAAAATAAAAGTTTCTAATGCACAAGGTCTTTGCTAAAGGAAATAAGACGTAAATTGCAAAGTGCAAAGTTTGTATTTTCTGTGTTAGTTTGTTTAACCTTGCAAGACGTCTGAAGTATATATCAAGAATATATCTTGTGGTTTAGGAGAAACTGAACCAAATGGAAAAGTTGTATTCGTTAAAATAGTAGAACACAGAAGAAAAAAAAAAAGTAAACACTATTGAGTTATTGAAATTATTCAAACAATAACTATATAATATCCAGTTCTTAAAAAAAAATAGTTATAATGATAAAAAATAAAATTAAATTTGATCATTAGCAAGTCAAGAAGTTAGAAAAAAGGGAAAAATCGCTCTGTAATTACGAAATTAAAGACAATTTGTAAGACAAGTTTCTCTTCGTAAAACTCGAATTGGCTAAATCATCTTCCAGTGAAAAGCAACAGTTAGGTATAACGTACTAGAGAAAATTGGTGGTTAGTTGAAATCATGGTTTTATTCTGTCACCATGACGTGGCAGAAACATTCATGGAAATCACTTCCTCTTTCTAACTGCATTTGAGATTATTATTATTGTTAATATTATTGCTAGTGTGGTTGTTGTTATTGTTATTATCGTTATCGTTATTATTATTATTATTATTATTATCATTATCTTTTATCATTATCTATCATTATTATTATTATTATTATTTATTATTATTATTATTATTATTATCCTTATTACTATTATTATAGTTATCATCATAATTATTTTCATCGTTGTTATTATTATCATTATTATTCTAT